TATGTAATTAATTATGAAATCAGTATTAGTAACTTGTTATCCTTAAAGATTAAACTTTTAATGTTGTTGTCTTTAAATTATGATAGCACTTATAATTAAATTTCATCAGTAAATATTGTTGCCATGTGGAAGCAGGAACTGAAATTAATTTTTAAATGAGATTAAAATTTCAAATCTATAGTTGATTACGAAGTTAAATTAACGATTTCAAATCCTTAAGTATAGCAAATTGATAATATCCACTGATGTCCTTTAAAATTATAAGAGCCGTTATAACTGAATTAATCCCAACGTAGCATTTAAGGTAAGAAGGCCTAGGCTCGCCAGGATTAAATGTTAATAACAACACAACGGTAGCAGTTTAAACTAATATAGTAACACTCTGAAGGGAAAAGGTCTATTAAGTTTGCATCTGTCTGTTCTTTTCAAAGGGAGGTGAGGAAAGAAAAATAGGATGAAATCTACAGATTCACTGCAATTAATATAATAACTGTGGGGCAAGCCGGGAGATTTATTTATCATAGACGAATTTGGAAGTGGAACACGCACCAACAAATCGAACTATTAAGACCTTTCAAAAGACAGTAAACGAGGAATATGCTCGTTTCTTTCTTGTGCGCAAGCTGCAATTGCAGGTTTTCAAACAGAGATGACGACAAAGAGGCAAAACTTACGGACTGCAGCTTTAATAACACAATGTCTAATAACAAATTTCTGCTGATTTGCAAAAAGGGCCCAATATTGCCAAAATATCATGTTTAAAAAAATCTATTAAAAAAAACTTTCTATCACATATAGTTTTTTCATAACAAAAGAATGAAGATTTTTCAAAGTATATATGTTTCAGCTTTAATGCATTTATCAATAAAAAAGCAGGTTTAAGTTTTAATGACAAAAATAAGTATTTTAAAATCATTTAACTTAAAATCTGCAAAGGAGTGGAAAATGTGTTCAAATGCTCCATTTAATGTCAAAGAACTTTACACAATGAGCGAAAAACAACAACAACTGTAAATGTCTGTCACTGTTTGGATTTAGTGAAACACCCACAGATGTAGCGGAAAACATCTGGGTCATGTTTGCTTTTTCTTCTGTCACTGGCCTTAATTCTAACCTTGAAATCAGGATTCGGCATAAAATATTGTCTGCAAGATCATTCATACATGTGAAAATGTGCTGAGAATTGAACAAATAGTTGTAATCTTGCTCAGAGGAAGATAAGAATCATGTCTTTGTGGCAGTTTTTCTGGTGACCTAAAAAGGGATAAAACCTTACAGATGGTTGTCAAAAGCAAAAATGCTACAAAATACACATATTCCATGAGCAAGTGTGGCATGCTCTTGCAAAACAGGCACTATCTTTGGAATCAGCACTTCAAAATTAGTAAAAAAAACAAGTATTGGATTTCATTCAGCAAATATGATGCACGGTGGTGTAATTATTATCTTTTGGCTTCTCAGGTAAATGGAGCTTAGAAATGTTTTTTTTAATTTTTTTTCCAGGACACATGTGTTTGCCTCCAAACACTAATAATCTTTGTCTCTTTTTCTTGCTGTAGCTTGTTTGAAGAGGAAGTGATGTCGTATGTGCCACCTCATGCCTTACTGCACCCCAGCTACTGTCAATCACCACGAGGGTCTCCGGTCTCCTCCCCTCAAAACTCTCCTGGTCCGTTCCTCTCAGTCACATTGAAAAAAATTCAAGAAACATTTATGAATAGTATTGCAAAATGATTTCATATCTTACATTTTATAATTGCAAATATAAGAGAGTTTATGATTCTCTGGTTCTGCTCATCTTTACTCAGCATTGCTTTAGTTTTGGTTGTAGAGCTTGACATGCAGTCGACCAGATTTCCTGGGTATTTTTCGAGTTAGCTGCCAAAGCATCAAATCCGCTGTGTGGGATTTGATGTGTAGTTGGAGTCCAGGGTTTTTGGCTAATCTCTGTATGCTGGTTTTTAACCGTTACACTGACACTCAGATTTTCACAAGTCTGTTTGGAGAGTGGCGGACATCATGTTGCCAGAGGGAATCATGGTCTAATTCACCATGATCTGACTTTAGTCACCGCTGACACTCAGGGATTACACTGTTCGCTGGTTATAGCGGGTTCTGTGAATTCTACACTCCTTTTTTGCTTGAATAGAAACCATTCTGATACACTATAACTGGACTTTATACTGAGGAATAGAATAATTTTGGACCATATCCCATTTAAACAACAACAATAGTAATACTACTACTACTACTACTACTAATAAAAATATTAATAATAATAAATTATTATTATTATTATTGTTGTTTGCATATTTTATTATCTACATTTTTAAAGCCATTTTATTTATTTATTTATTTATTTATTTATTTATTTATCCCTGCTAAAAATGAGTTTGTTCTTTTATATCTCAAGTAATATAACAGATTTATTTTATTATATAAATTTAAATAGTCTAGGACAGTGTTTCTCAACCCTGGTCCTGAGAAATCTATTGTCAAAGAAAGAGAAGCATTTCAAAAAAGAAGTTTCCCTGCAGTTTTCCATCAAAATAAAAGCTCTAGGGTTTAAAGTTTAAAAACAAAAAAAACAACTGTGGTTACATGATAATAATAAAATAATATTTATATATAAATATTATTTTTTTACATTTATAATTCTTTTTGGTTTAATGTTTGAAAGCAAAGAAAAAAACAACAACCATAAATATTAATACTGCAATTGTACCATTGTTATTTAAAATAATAATAATAATAATAATAATTTGTATTTATTATTATTATTATTATTTCCTTCCTTCCTTCCAGTGGACATTTTCATTGCTCGGAGGTTACTCTTTTATACAGTAATTATTATTATTATTATGCAAATTTCAGTTTAAATTTTTCATGTTTAATTTAAATAGTCTGAGTCTAGGAGAAATGACTGATATATAAAAGAGATCTCATTTGTCATCAGATTTGACAAGTAAAGCCTGAATTTTTCTGCATTATCTATACATTTTCTACACATTTGTCTATGTTTGATTAAGATTCTGATTTTGGCTCTTGGCAGAGTCACTTTTTTAGCTGTACTGTATTGTACCTTTGATCTCTTCCTTTCAGGTACACAGCGAGCCAACGCACGGGCACCTGCACCGTACAAACGGGACTTTGAAGCCAAACTTCGGAATTTCTATCGCAAACTGGAGACTAAAGGCTACGGACAGGGCCCAGGCAAAGTGAAGTAAGTATCTGTACAGGTACCCTGAGGTCTTGTTTTATAACACATTGTCAAACTCATGCTGACTTGTTGTGCTTGTTTTAGGTTGATAATCCGCAGAGATCATCTACTGGAGGATGCGTTCAATCAGATCATGTGCTACTCTCGCAAAGATCTACAGAGAAGTAAACTCTATGTCAGCTTTGTTGGAGAAGAAGGGTCAGTGTTTCCACAATGTTGAAACATAACCAGACTTTACACTATATAACAGTTATAAAAATAAACTTAATGATTAAAGATAAATTGATCATATTGTGTAATTATCTTCATTTAAATAATTATTCATTATAATTTTTCAATTTTTTAAAATGTATTTTTCTGAATTTATTTATTTTTCTTTGATTCTAAACACATTCATTTATTTTTGGTCCCGTTCAGACTGGACTACAGTGGCCCCTCACGAGAGTTTTTCTTTCTGGTGTCACGAGAGCTTTTTAACCCATACTATGGTCTGTTTGAGTATTCAGCAAATGACACTTACACCGTCCAGATCAGCCCCATGTCTGCCTTTGTTGACAACCATCATGAGTGGTGAGTGCACATTTTCTTTTAAGAGTGTGCTTACAGTTTTATGCCGCATATGAAGCTTGATTTAATTTGATCAATGCACATACGATATTTAGAAGGTGCTTGGCTTGATCTGTGCCTACAAAATCTTTTAAAGGGGTCATATGACGTTGCTAAAAAGAACATTATGTTGTGTATTTGGTGTAATACGCCTTCTTTCTTTGCGTGAACATTTGGGCGGCGTTATGCAAATCTTCCCACATCGTGACGTAGATATGTGGGGGCATGTTAAAATTAGCCGTTTTAGGAGGGTGTGGTTGACTCTTAACTTTTATAAAGAATATCTCTTTGGATTTGAGACTTTAGTCTTTGCAACTGTACAGATCTTCTTTATGCACCAAGAGCTTGTAACACTCCAAAGAGAAAGGAAAATAGGAAAACCCCTTTAATAGACCAAACTAGCGGAAATGTATCCCATGTTTTTTTCAACATGTTCTGTTGTCAGGTTTCGGTTTAGTGGCCGTATTCTGGGCCTCGCTCTTATCCATCAATACCTACTGGATGCCTTCTTCACACGACCTTTCTACAAAGGCCTACTTCGAATGTAAGTTAAGCATTTCTGCCCCTTTTTTTGTAGATTTTTTTAGAAGTAGACAGTTATTAAAATTAAAAAAATAATTTTAAAATTTGAGCTAAAAGAAAATGTTATATGAAGTTATATAAATAAATGAAAGTTATATATATATATAGTCATAAGGGTCAATTTTTCGAAATTGAGATTTATACATCATCTGAAAGCTGAATCTAAATAAGCATTCCATTGATGTATGGTTTGTTAGGATAGGACAATATTTGGCCAAGATACAACTATTTGAAAATCTGGAATCTGAGGGTGCAAAAAAGGCAAAATATTGAGAAAATCACCTTTAAAGTTGTCCAAATGAAGTTCTTAGCAATGCATATTACTAATCAAAAATTAAGTTTTAATATATTTACAGTAGGAAATGTACAAAATATCTTCATGGGACACGATCTTTACTTAATATCCTAATGAGTTTTGGCATAAAAGAAAAATCAATCATTTTGACCCATACAATGCATTTTTGGCTATTGCTACAAATATACCCCAGCGACTTAAGACTGGTTTTGTGGTCCAGGGTCACATATATAAAGTTAACCTTTAGCATTAGGGTTGGGCCGATAGATGATGCCATCATCCATCGTTGATGAAAATGAATATATGAAAATGAGAATGTTACGTTTTTAATGATGTAATTGTTTTCAATGTTTTGGCACTTGCCATCTAGTGAACTGATATCTTCCCCTTCCCCCGATGTCATCGTCCATCGCCATGTTTCACTGTAGACATTGTCTGATGCCAATTTGGTAGACATTGCCCAACCCTATTTAGAATCAATTGTTCTGTTCAGGTGTCAAGATCTTGTGCCGTAAAACTACTTTTTAAAGTATATATTGTATATTTTTAACAATTAAAAAGAATGAATCAAACATGAATAATAATATAGTTAATAATAAAAATAATGATATTACTAATAAAAATAATATATTATATGTTATTATCCACCTTATTCCTGAGTAACCGATGAGCGCCGCCATGATGGATTCTAACTTCCGTTTGGGTGCACTCGTGTTCTGGTCTCCATAGAAATCCATGTTAAAACAGGGTAAAAAGATCGACTGAATTAATTCAACTGAAACTTTTTCAGTTTAACTAAATATAAAAATGTGCACAGGGTTAAGCTGTTCTGTTGTTGACTGCCACAGTAACAGCAAGGAATTCCTGTACAGTACTTGTTTTGCGCACCAGGAAATCTGTCTGTGTCCGCGCTGTATGCCTTGCATAAACGATGACAAGAGAAAATGAGCATGGAATGCAGCACTTAAGTTCAAATACTGTGTGAAATAATAAATAATGTGTTAAAATAATGTGTCCTCATCATTTTGTGGACAAAATCCGGGAGCTGTATGTAGGATATGTGCGCTCATGTGTTTTCAGTGCAGCTAACCTCCAGCTGCTTCATGTCATCTACCCATTCATTAAAACAGGGGTCACCAAACTCGGTCCTCGAGGGCCGGTGTCCTGCAGAGTCCAGGTGCAACCCTAATCAAACACACCTGAACCAGCTAATCAAGGTCTTACTAGGCATATTAGAAATTTCCAGGCAGGTGTGTTGAGGCAAGTTGGAGCTAAACTCTGCAGGACACCGGCCCTCCAGGACTGAGTTTG